CATCAGGTCTTAGTTGCAGTGCATGGGCTTCTCTCTAGTTGTGGTGTGCTGGCTTCAGAGCGCACGGGCTTAGTTGCCCTGTGGCATGTGGGGTCTCAGTTCCCTGACCAGGGATCGAACCCGCGTCTCCTGCGTTGGAAGGTGGATTCTTAACCACTGGACCACCAGGGAAGTCCCCTAGAACAGTTTTACATTTATAGAAAAATCGCAACAATAGTACAGAGAGTTCCCATACACTCTGTATCCAGTTTCCCCTATTATTAGCATCTTACATTAGTAAGTTACATTTGTTACAATTAATGAACCAGTATTGACACATTCCTATTAACTAAAGCCATGGTTTACTCAGATTTCCTTAGTTTTAGCCTAATATTCTTTTTCTGTTCCAGGATCCTGTCCTGGGTACCACCTTTCCTTTTGCTGTCAAATTTTCTTGGGTTCCCCTTGGCTGTAACAGTTATTCAGACTTGCCTTGTCTTTGATGAACTTGACAGTTTGGAGGACTAGTGGTTAGGTATTTTGTAGAATGTCCCTCAGTTGGGATGTTTTTCTCATGATTAGATTACAGGTTTTTGGAAGGAAGACCCCAGATGAAGGGCACCTCTCAATACATCAAATCAAGAGAACATACTACCAATGTGACCTCTCAGTGTTGATGTTGACCTTGAGCTCCTGGCTGAGGTAGTAGTATCTGTCAGTTTTCTCCACTGCAGAGTTAGCTCTTTTCCTCCTGGTTCCAGACTGTCCTCTTTGGAAGGAAGTCACTAGGCACAACCCACACTTAAGAAGTGGACAGTTATCTTCCACCTCTGGGAGGGCAGAGTACAGAAATTATTTGGAATTTTTTTGCACAGCCAATTTGTCTCTTCTCCGTTTATTTATTTATTCAATCATTTATTTATATACATATTATGGGTATTTATTTTTACTTTTGGTTGTAATCCAATTCTACTTTATTTTCTTGCTCAAATTGTTCCAATTTTGGCCATTAGGAGCTCTTTTAGTTGGCTTCTGTGTCCCTTTGACATATGTCTATCATTATGGGGTTTTCTTTTTTATCACTTTTTACAAAAACCTTCCGGCACAATAAGATACTTCAGACTCAACTTTGGTGTTTCCTGCCCCAGTCCTAGCATCAACCATGTCTCCAAGGAGCCCTAGTTCCTTTTACTGGAGGATGCTATAAGAAACCAAGGTTTGAGGTCTAGGTATTCTTGGTGTTGTTGCTTCTAGGTCCTCTCAGCTGACAGAGAAAAGAAATTCATGTGTGTATATTAACTTGTATTTATATGCATGTCTATAAATATTTGTATATGTAACCAAATATTTGTATATGTAGCCATACAGACACATCTATACCTCTATTCAGCTAAACATACAGTGTTTCCAGTGTGGATCCATTAACATATGGATCATTCTAGCCTTCTCCCTTTGCTTATCTGTAAACTCTTATGCCAACAATGAGAAATCTGACTCCACTGTCGGTCATTCATTTACTTAATTGTCAATTTCCAGCATGCAGGTATAGTAAATCTGAATTGTGCATCTGTACCCCTGTGGGAAACAACTTTATCACCTCAAGCACAAAGCTTGCTTTCAGTTTCTTTTGCCTTTGGTCTTACAGACTCCACTTACTTCCAAAGTTACTAGGGTCAACACCCATTTCCCCCAAGCCCGAACCCCCTTGATGGGTGGTTTTACGCATTTACAGTATAGTTAACTTGTTTCCTCACATTCTGCCTTCCATCGCTGGGATCCCCAAACTCCAGATGATTTTTTTGAATTTGCACACATTGAGGTTCATGCTTTAGTATTAAAATAACGTTTTAAATTACCTAACATCTAGCAAAACCGATAAACTATGGCCTACCTTGTGTCAGGCCCTATAACAATGTCATTCGGTGGGGCTTTATCTTGTAGTCTCCTCGGAACAGCCCTGATGTGTCCCTGCATAATCAAGGCCCAGGCACCCCAGTCTAGGAAGCACGGACTACGGAAACTGCCTTGTGATATTTATGGCCGCGTCTCTAAAATTCTAGGATTCCTTAGATTTGTGTAACCACATTTCTCTTAGCGGTTCCAGAATCTGCAAAACACGATCTGTTTGGAGAACTGCATTTACATAAAGTTAGAATTTTTTTTCTTGTTGCTCTTTTGCTCCTAGGAAGAAAGTAATTTAAACTGCAGGGGAGAATAATAACTACTGAAGTCAATACTAGCTTTTGTCTAGAACAAATGCCATCAGCGCAACTTAAATTAGAATCCCCTTTGTCAGTCTGGGTTTGCTGAAAACAACGATTAAGTTGCTCTGCACTCACAAGCGATCTGCTGCTATATTGTTTTTTTATGGGCTTTATTTGTTGCACCAACCACATTATCCAAACAGCATGTGCAAAATTATGCCAATGAAGGAAAGGCAATGGTTGTGTGTTGCTGTTATTGTTGGGTGGGGGTGAGGGATAGGACTGGCTGGAATTAGCACATTAACAAATAAATTGTTGTCCTGAAGGACTTTCATGCTTTGTAAATCTTTCCAACTTCATTTTACCTAACTCCCAGGATGATCGTCCACCACATGATGGTATAAAGTTGTCCCCAGTGGGGAATATGTATTTCTAATGCTGCCATGACAGATTGAGGACTTGGTAGGAGTGATGCTCTGGAGTTGTATGATTGAGCTGAAAAGTTTAAGAAAAATATACTTAAAATCGTAACATTTATGTAGTAAGGCACTGGACTGTATCTTTTGTTTGTTTGTTTAAGCTACTATTTTTTAAACATCTTTATTGGAGTATAATTGCTTTACAATTGTGTGTTAGTTTCTACTTTATAACGAAGTGAATCAGTTATACATATGTTCCCATATCTCTTCCCTCTTGCTGGACTGTATCTTTTGATGTGCTGCCCCACTGAGAGATTGCAAGCATCCCTGGGGGTGGAGCCTCCCCTGTGGTAGGAGAGACTGCTGGGTGGGACTTTTCTGCATGTTAGTTATAGATCAAACAGCCACCTGTTGTGCAATGGGAAACTTGGAACCCAGAGGAGGAATCTAGAAGCAGATGCTTCAGGTTGAGATGTCCTTTGGCGCTTAGCAATGTTGATTAGGTATAATAACAGAACTCCACCTCTGAAGAGATAGAAAAAGGTTTCCCCCAAACTTTCCAGAATATTATTTTTGTTCACAGAAGCTAAGCATACTTTGTCATCCAAATACTTGGTTTTGAATGACTGGGAGGAAGAACCAGCTTAGTCAGGAAGGACAAGCTTACCTGAACTTCTGTTCACTTCAGGCTGGAGGAAGGGCTGAGAAAAGGAGTGGCTGGGCTGGGTCATGCAGCCTGGACTGTTGTCACGGCCCCCACGAGTGGTGATTTCAGGTGAAATGTGCCTGACGTTGGGAGGGTTCTCAGGACTCCCATGATCGCCATGCCCGAGCTCTGAGGGTCAGACTCTACCTGCTTAAGACAAGGGTGGGATTTCACCTAAAGGGAAGAAATAATGATCTCTTATCCCAGAGGAAGAGGAGGCTCGGTTTGGACCAGGCTGAGAAGATTCTTCTCTTTTTTCTGGGAACTGAGTTGGGCTTGGACTCTGAACTGCAGAGGTGGGGACTGTGCCAGGGGAGGCCCATGGAACCTAGACCGGGGTGCAGAGGTTGGGTCTGAGCCTGAAATCCTGACAGTATCCAACTCTAGAAGCAGTTGTGAATTTCACCGAGCTTATGACCAAGTCTTCTGTAAGGTTTTATGAAAAACCTGATCTCAGATGTACTATGTACAGATGTATTGCAGGGGGCTAAGGAGAATCAGACCCCCTCTTGGAGGCTGGAGAAAAGGATGCTATGAGGACAGAGATGCATGGCCCAGTAGAGTTGCACTCTTATATAAGAAGCAGCAGCAGAAGGCTGCAGGCCAAGAAGCATGAAAAAAGCAACCCCCCAAAACTTACCCCTGAGAACATATGTGATGGCACCTTGAGAAACCTCAGATTAGCTGGGAGGCATGGGGTGAGGGTGTATGTGGGTGTTGGGGAGTGGGGGCTACATCTGAGTAACTAAATCAGGAGGGGCTCATGCAGTAATGTCTTGGGAGGGCAAAGATGGGAACCTAATTTCAGTTCAAGGTCACAGTTTGGAAATGTGAAGGACACAGAAGTCCCACTTAATTTTCTTCAGCTCCTAAGCATGTTTCTATGAATTTTATCCCGTGAAAGGAATGCTACTGCACATCAGAAACAAATTCAGTGGCTAATTTGAAAAAGCAGTTATTTAAAAATAGAACAATATTTCAAACATTTTAAGCTAAGGCAGCACATGGGAGTCACATTGCCCCCTTTCTCTTCTTCCCATAACTCCGACGTATGTGCTTTCTTGTGCACACAAGTTCACTCTTCTCTCTCAAACATCCTTAGCACAAGTGGAGTACTTATGTTCTTTACAATCCTAAAACCTTCGATTATAACCCACGCTAACATTAACAAAAGTAATAAAATGTGGAAGCTTGCCAAACATTTGTAGAGTACTGTGCCATTCACAAAGCACTTCAAAAATATTTGATCTCATTGGAATAACACTTTCTTGCCAGCGTAGCTGTGTAGGTTTCTTTCCATTTTATTTTATTTTATTATTTTTATTTATTTATTTATGTATGTATGTATGTATGTGTAAGCAACAACTCATTTTTAAAGACTGGGCACAGACATGAGCTCGCATTAGCTTTCTAGATTCAGCACACAGGAAAACAACGTTCAGTTTCCTTTTTTGGTATCACATGCTCGATCTCTAAACAGATACATGAAGTGGGTCTCTAAACTGTGAGTGGAAGTAAGCTAATCATTGACATTCCAGACACTTTGCTACTTGACACACTTAAACAAAAAATGGCCAGCCGCTCTGCAAACTAAGTTTCTACTCTGGAGAAAAATGATCCCCTTAAGGGGCCCACACAGCTCTGCTGAGGTTCCTGGTAGACTGTGACCTGTCTGCTTGTTTTTTTTTCCAGCATCCCTTGGAGTACCCCGCTCAGAGACTGGCACAAAGGGAGTGGGTATCGTTGTTGAACAGGAAAAAATAAGGTAATTGCCACCAAAGGAACACTCCCTCAGTCCCAAGCCTTTGCTAATAAGTGCCAGATTGAATCCTCTTAACTACCATGTGATGTATTGATTATAATCCTATTTCACAGATGAAGAAACTGAGGCTGTGATAATGTGATATAATAAGAAATATATATTTGGTCTTTGTCCTCGGTTCCTGGCACAGAGATCCTACAATCCTTGTAATTTCCTGAGCAATAGGGGTGATAAAGAGCATATTTTGTTATCATATTTGTTGTAGTCCTCAATTCCTGACTCAAGGGCTTCTAAGCTTTTGGGATCTCTGGAGTGATAAGAATGTCATTCTTATGCTAATGAGATGACTGGTGGCTGGGATCCTCTAAAGAGCCTCAGGATGGGGGCTGGTCACTGGAAAGACCTCAATGAGAGGATCGGAACTTTCATCCCCACCCCCTGACTTCCGGGTGGAGGGGAGGAGCTGGAGACTGAGGTAATCACCAATGGCCGTGATTTAATCAATCATGCCTATGTAATGAAACCTCCATAAAAAGCCCTAAACTGCTTGGGGGCGGGGGTTTGGGGTGATTTAAAGAGCTCCTGGTTGGTAAACCGACTGAGGTGCCGGGAGGGTGGTATGCCCACATACCTTGTCCTGTGCATCTCGTCCACTGACTGTTCTAAGTTGTATCCTTTATAAGAAGCTGGTAATAATAAGTAAAGCTTCTTCCTGAGTTCTGTGAGCTGATCTAGCAAATTACCAAACCCGAGGAGAGGATGCTGGGAATCCCCGATTTACAGCCGGTGGGTCAGAAGTATGGGAGGTCCAGAACTTACACTTGGTGTCTGAAGTTTTGTGGGACTGAACCCTCAGCTTGTGGGATCCCATGCTAACTCTGAGAAGCTAGTATCATAACTGACTTAAATTGTAGGACACAGTTGGTGTCCAGAGACTTGGAGAATTGCTTGGTGTGGAAAACCCACACTTGGATATCACAACTGCTATGAGTAAAAATGGTTTATAGAGGCTCAGAGAGATTAACTTGTCTAACTCCACACAGCCTAAGAGTGTAAAAGCTGGTATTTGAACCGAATTCCTCAGATTTTAATTCCGTAATACCATGTTGTCTACTGTGTTATCTGTTTAACTTCTGGAACATTCTTATTAATCCTGGTGCTGATAAAAAATGTATTTCATGAGAAACCCACAGTGGCACTTCAAAATGAACATTTTTGTAATCTTTACAAGAGAAAAACAAAGCATAAATACACCACTGAATGTCACAGTGAGTGGCTGAAGTGCTACGTCTGGAAATTAAGTGTCTGGTCCCAGGTTCACTATGGACTAAAAATATTAATTCTGATAAAATAGGTGGTCTCTCACTTTTGCTTATTTTGTTTTACTCTTTCAAAACATAAGCAACTCATTATCTGTGTTTTTGCTTATGAGATAATATTAAACTTCAGGAAACCACATTGTTCACTTCAGTGGAACCAGCTGGGGAAAAGGCATGATAAAAATTAGAAGGATCACTCCCGCTAACAATAATTCCACCACCAGCAGCAAAACCAACAGCATAATCATCACCACTACCCTACCAGCAGTAAGACGACCACCACCACCATCACCATCAGCATTAGGTTTTCTTGGGACAAGACAGAAGGGGTCGATTTCTCTTCCTTATGTGGATATCACATTTATGACTTCCCTTTCACTAAAAAGTTATGTCCCATCACTATCCAAGCCTATTCAGACTTCAAACATTGAAACATGGTTTTGACAGGATACAGAGTTTTAGTAAGTAAAAACAAAGAACGAAGCCACATTAATGGCAGGGGTAGTTTACAAACTCTTTTTGATCAGTCAGATTTTTTTCATCATTTATATAGAAGTGGTCAATTTTCAAAAATGTCTTTGAAGTAAGTTTGAATATACGCTTTTTCTGACTTACCCCCACACCTCCGAAAACATGCGCACGCGTACACACACACACTCGCTCACACACTCAGACACACTTAGACACACACACTCACACACACTCACATGATTCTATAATAACATTTAGCTCTTCCTTATGAATTTATGTTATACAAATACAAATGTCTCTCTCACTACTTGTCTTGCGAGGCCCTAGATTAACACACTGTATGACTAATAAACTGGGGATCAGACTTTGCTCTCTGCACAGCGTAGTTTCTAATCTATAGTGACCTGTGTTATGAGCACAATCCCTATGTTTAAAAATTGTAACAAGTAGATAATGACTAAGATTAATTTTCTTAATCAACCAGTTAGATTTTGAGCACACAAACAGATATTTTCCTTTTCTAGATATCAGTATAAAATCTATTAAGAATCCATCTGAAACTGTTCTCAAAGTCTATGACATCTCTTATTTTACGATGGTAAACTCTCCCTATTCAGAATGGATTTGTTTTGAAAAAGGCCTCATTCAGAGGCAGGCTGTTGAGTAAAGGGAATAATCAAACTGAGTATGAAACTGTTTGTGTTTTGGTTAAAAACAAGCTTTTACTAAAATGTAATACAGTGATTCTGAGTGGGTAAGTACAAATTCTGGGGATGGTGTATGTGTTGGTTATTTTGAAAATGCATTCTGAGATGGCAGACTGAAAAAGAAAATCCTTGATTTCATTAAATAAACAGTAAAAAACATTTCAACTTAAGTTTAAACTTTCTGGGATGGCATGATAAGTGTGGTGGGGTTTAGGACAGAGGATAGCTGACGGTCTTAAAAATTTTTTTTCACATGTCAAAAAGACGTATGAAAGGTTAAAAAACGTTGTAAGAAGACTTTTTTCTTGTGTGGCTTCTAACTTGATTTTTAAAGAAATTCACAAAATAGGACTCCAGAAATATTTTGAGAAATGGCCTCTGCAATGAAATAGAGGTATAGTCTTCTTAGGGCGACTGTTTTGAAGGTTAATGCTCATTTTAACATTAAAGTTCTAGTATACTCACTTAAAAAAATAGATTAGGGGCTTCCCTGGTGGCGCAGTGGTTGAGAGTCCGCCTGCCGATGCAGGGGACACGGGTTCGTGCCCCGGTCCGGGAGGATCCCACATGCCGCGGAGCGGCTGGGCCCGTGAGCCATGGCCACTGAGCCTGCGCGTCCGGAGCCTGTGCTCCGCAACGGGAGAGGCCACAAGAGTGAGAGTCCCGCGTACTGCAAAAAAAAAAAAAAAGGAAGACACATATGCTGGTTCCTACTCTGTAGTTTCTCTACTGTCTAATCTGAGAGGCAGGATGGGCAGCCAGGTACCCAGACACATATGGGCACCCAGGTGTGATGTGTTACCACACCCCAAACGGAAAGAGCAATATATTTCCTGCTCAGCACAACTCCCCTATTCTGGACGTACAGGTTTCACCAATGTCCAATTTCTTAGACAAGAAAACAGCTGGTCCAATGTAGGTTCACGAGTGATCAGTGTTTCTAAAATCTAAGACCCTTTGTTTCAGCCCCGTGTGGAAGTCTTGCATCCCCCCAGGCAGCTGTGCATTCATGGGAATCCACTGAAGTCATTTGTCGGGAAGGAATTCCCTGATTGGGCTTGGAACATGATGCAGCTATTTTTAGGGTTTCAGCTGGTGTCCTTACCAGTTCCACATGATCTAGAAGTTGCTCCACTTCCTTCTATTGAGATAATTTGGGAAATGAGTGTTAGATGGAATTTCAGTCTCTGCATCTATCATTACTGATGTTTTAAAATAAACAAGTTCTTAGAATTCTTTCCACCAACCGGAAGAAATCTAGTTGCCGCTTCAGGTTTGAGTGCCTTAGGAAATTATGGGAAAAATCAGCTGAAGCGAGTTGAGAATCTTGGGCCTCTGTCACTATACGAGTAAGTCAAAGAAGGAGGCTTGCTTGGGACCAGCTTGCCAGGTAATTTTCACACTGGACTCTGCTGAGCATCACTGTAAAGGATGACAGATTGTGAGATGGTAGGGCAGGGTCACATCCTCTACATCCCCTGGGGTGCTTGTTAAGACTCTCAGACTCCACCCAGATCTTCTGATCAGACTCCTCAGGGGTTAAACCCAATAACTTGCATTTCTTATGGACTCCCGGGTGACTCTTAAACACACGCAAAAGCTTCAGAACCACTGCCGACTGTCCATAGATTTAGGAGCTGGAAATTGGGGTCTGGGCTGCCCCCATCCCCATTCCACATTCATCTACTTTACACATGGGAAGAAACACTTCTGTGGCCAAAAAATTTAAAAAGTTAGAAATAACTATTCCAGTGTAAACATCTGAAAAAGACCTTCTCATGCTTATTTTCACTGATGATTTCTTTCTAGTTAGAATACAAATGAATGCATAAGAAAGTGATTTTGTCCAGAAAACTTCAGGATATAGAAAGCCACTTACTTCATTCATCTACCACAAGGACCCAGTTCTGCATCTCCAGCTGCAACTGATCTGTAGGATTCGGGAGACTCCAGTGTTGGGCCAGGGTGTCTGGGATTAATGGCCAGCCACCATTGCACATCCAGGACCCTACTCCCCAGTCTACTTCTCAGATTTGGCCTTCAGCCCAAGAGCTCCTCATTGCAAAGTTTAAGAATGTGACATATACAAGCATGATCACAGAATGCATTCCATATGCTGGCTTTTGGGTCACACAGAATGAAGACATTAAGAACATGTTAATATGGTTGCTTGTAAGACAATTTTGTGGTTTTTGCTGTCCTAAATACCTGAAGTAAGTCTTTCTTATTGTGTCAAATTTAACAAGAAATCTAGAAGATGAAAGGAAGTAGTGGAACTAAAACTTCCAAATTTTAACTCATATAATATACCATTGAGTTTCACATGTTATGAAAACTTATTACTATGACTCAGATAAGTTTCGTAGGGTAAAAACTTCAAATCCATAAAAATACAGTACATAGTAACTCACAAGTGTTAATTAATTTATTAAGCATCTAATATATATAAAGCTCCATTCTATATATTTTGTGAGAACTACAAAGGGGATAATATATTGATTCAGGC